GCCGCAAAAACATCCGCCACGAAGTTGAAAATTAGTGGCGAGCCGGGGTCCCCTTGTCGGAGTCCCCTTTTGTTCTGGAAAATTTTCCCCATTTTCCCGTTAATTGTGACCGCTGTTTGCCCGCATGAAATAAGATGCATGATGCAGTGCACAAAACCCGCCTCAAAACCCTTTTTGAGGAGGGCTTCTCGAATAAACTCCCAGTTTACTCGATCATATGCTTTTTCAAAGTCCAGTTTTAGCACGATCCCTTTCCTCTTAGTACGCTTAAACTTGTGGACAATTTCACGTAACGCAATGGGGCCTTCTAGGATGTTGCGGCCTTTCAGAAAAGCAGTTTGGCTTCTCAGGATAACACGTTGAGCTACCGATGCTAGACGCGAAGCATAAGCTTTTGCGCACAACTTGAAGGCCATGTTGATCAAAGTGATAGGCCTAAATTGTCGAATATTGTCCGCGCCTTTCACTTTAGGAATGAGGCTAATAGCACCGTAGTTGATGAGAGCCAAATCAATCGAGCCTAGAGCAAACCCGTTACCTAAGTCATAGAAGACGTGTTTAAAGCATGGCCAATTTTCTTTAAACAAAGCAACCGGCCAGCCGTCAGGCCCAGGAGCCGTGTCAGTCTTCATGTCAGCCAGAGCCTGATCGATCTCTTCGGGGAGAAAGGCTAGGGCAAGCCCGTCATTTTCCACTTGGGAAACCCTATCAACCTGCCCCCAAAAACCTTCCTGAAGGACCACAACCTTATCCTCGGCCGTACCCAATAGGCCAATAAAGAAATCGTAAATGTGTCTAACAATTTCCGCCTGAGTCAGCAGGAGCCCGTCCTCCAAATTAAGGAGAAGGATAGGACTTTTCCTTTTCCGGCATTGGCGAACGCATGAAAGTAACTCGTATTCACATCACCTTTGGTCACCCACTTGAACCGCCCCTACGACGCCAGTATTCTTCTTCAACACGCAAGATGGCTAAGACTTGGTTTTCAAGGGAATATCAAAGTTCCCACTCACTTTCAGCCATCGGACTAGAGTCAACTTGAGCATGCAACGCTGCTATCTCCTCTACCAACCTAGCCCTCTCCTTCTTGGCCTCACTACCTTGATTGCCCCCAGCCCCGGAGGAAAGAGCACAGGGCCACAACCGCCACTGTCCAAAATTCAGCAGGCCCCCATTGGGGGTCTGAGTTGTGTCGAGATAGACGCCCAACGCTCCCGAACCAAAAGTGCAAAACCCTCGACTTCAAACCATGCCGTTTCAAAATAGAAACGCCTATTTCTCCGCAACGAATCATCACTAGAGGAAAAGATGAGGGGGAGGTGGTCCGAACCTATACGCGTCTCCGCCACCAGAGAGCAGAGATGGAAGAACGCTTCCCACTTCGGGGTGAAGAACACCCTGTCTAGCACACTCCGCACTGGGCGCAGTTATTTGTTAGACCAGGTGAACCTACAAAACTAAGAGAAAGGAGGAGCGCTTGTTTAGTCCCTACAAAACTAAGCAGCTCAGCCAAAAATCCACTGAACGGGAGTGGTCAGCCGGGCCGTAAACTAACATCACTACCGAAGAACGATCTGAGACACAGTGCTTGATAGTTGCCACAATGAAAACACACCCCGGTCCCACGCCAATACACCACAGATATACCGATTACAGCCCAATAAAAGACCCCATGATAGCCTGGAGGACGGCACCCATTGCCGGTCAAAACATTGTAAAGGATCTAACGAAGCAAGGTCCCTGAAAGAGAAATCTGTTTTGATCGTTTCTTGTAAAACTACAACGTCAATGCGCTCCTTAGCCATATATTCGCGCAGCTGCGTACGACGCCCCGGGTGTCCGCAGTCGCGGATGTTTCAAAACAGGTACCGCATTAGATAATGTGGTTCCTGAGGTGAACTCCTCGCGAGCTCACCGCCTTAGCCATGCGTTTCCGAGCCGGGGCACGGCTGAAAGAAGGAAAAACAGAGGCATCCCTCTCCTCTGTCTCCTTTTCGGGCACGGGATTGGCAACCTTCCCTGCTGTTGCCAGTCCCTCTTCGGCATTAGCAGCACACTTGGTTGCCGCCTCAGCCAACATGACATGGCCCTCTTCCCACGCGCGGACCAAAGAAATAACATCAACACTACTGGCCGAAACCGCTACACCACTATCACTTAAGATCGAAACCAAGTGGTCGTCGGAGAAAGCATTGAGAATTCGAAAGGAAGGTAGAGGATTACCTGAGGTCTCCAGGTTCTTGTCGGCAAGGCGGAGCTTGGCGCTCTCCATGGAAGACATGCCGCCTAGCTTGGCCTTGGACCGCACATTGGGCGCCCACGGCTCTACCGGGGTCGCCCTAGATCTCTTGGCCTTGACCGTAGCCCCCGCCGCCATCAGCTCCGCACCCAGCTCCACGCCCAACCCCATAGAAGGCACCACCTTCTTTGATGCCACCACCTTGGCTGTAGGTTTCCTGCCTGCCATCTTTTTAGGCTGTCTGCCCGACACACTCAAGCCCCGGCGACCGGTCGCAGGGGTCGCACCAGCCCCTTTTTTCAGAACACATCCAGAGTCGGCCCCCAGCGCGGTCGGTGACGAGATCACCTGGGCCCATGGAGTCTCCAGCAGCATTGGGTCAGAGAGCAGAGAAGGCACCAACAACTCCAAATTTGAACCATACTCATTAAAAGCACCAGCCAAAGTGCGGGCTAACGGGGGCACACTAACCGCAGTGTCCTGCATCGCCACGATCCGTGTCCCCCCCGCTCAAAGCACCAAACTTGTCCCAAGTCTCAATGTCAATCGAGGTGTCCTGGATACTGTCTTCAAGCTCCTCTTCCTGATTAGCCATCTGCACGTCGCCCTTCGAATCTGTTGCATTGCTCCCTCCTGCCACAACTTTGCCCATACCAGGACTGCTAGCCACTTGCTTGTTGTTGTCTCCCTGCTGTCCCAACTGCTCAGGTTTGTCACCGACGTTGGGGGGGGGGCGAGGTTCAGTAGGTCCCAGCCTCAGAGCGCCACCATCGCTCCCACGTTTGGGCAGCCTCTCGACCTCCACTTTGATTTGATAACCCTCGTGGTTAAACCAAACTTCCACCACCCCATTGAATTTGTTTGGATTTTTGCAGGCCAATTTCATCCTCACAGGCCCCAACCTGATGAGAGAGAGTTCATCCACCACTATAGGTCGACCCAACATCTTGAACCCTTCTTTGATCCTATCTTCCCTGCGGTGTTTCTTCAGGACACCGTGAAGCCGCACCCAAGCCTCGGGCATCACCATGGGCTGAATCACTTCATGCAGCATGTCTCGCACCCTAGCCGTGATGTTGTTGCGGAGCAGGAAGAGCTTGCCACTTGATTTGGCCATGTGTAAGAGACCAGCCGAAGGAAACACCACATGGTAGTCATTGTCACCCACCTGAGTCACTTGCCAATCCCAATCCCCCGCGACGATGAGCTTGAGCTCCTGCCGCAGAATGCGGAGGGACAGCTTGCTGGGCTCTGCCGAGAGGATGGCCGAATTCGCGATCCACTCATCCACAGGCACCTCCTCCTCCGCATCATCGTCGAACTGGAGGAAGAAGAAACCCTCCCCAGTGATTGCGCTCCCCATGATCTGGAGGTTGAGGGAGCGACCACTGGAAGGACAGGCCGCCGAAGTGTGGCCCTCCTCTTTGCAGAGCACGCATAGCGGCTTGAAGGTGCATTTGGACTGAAAATGATCCCAATGGCCGCACGTGAAACATTCCACACCCGCCTCCGGCGCATCTTCCACAGGTATAGGCTCCCCCGCCGTGCCCTTGGAAGAGGAAGGAAGCGCCATCGCCATCACCGATGAGCTCGGCCGAGGCTTTTTGGTGAGGGGATCCCCATGTCCCCCACCAGAGTTGGGCAGCTCCATGGATTTGCGCTCCAGATCGCGGCAGCGCTGCTGCGCCTTCTTCTTACGCTTCTTCTCCTACTGCTGGATCCACCAAGGGGGAGGAGGACCCCAATCCCCCTCGTGCCCCGCCTGCTCCAAAGCGTAGCCGTGCGGCGCACGCTCGTCGCGGTACCCCTGACGGTCCCGAGCAGACGCCTTGGCCTTGTCGCGCATCTCCCGCTCCCTTCTTCTCTTAGCATCCAGCTCCGGCGCCTCCATGGGCCTCTTGTCCGCCTGCCAATCACCCATCACCGCCGTCGCAAAGGAGACCAAGAGGGGGGAGGAGGGGGCAAGATATGGAGAGTGCGGGCGAAATGACCGAAGCGCCGCACCTCCCAAGCGGTGGCTAGAAACCCTAAACAAGGATCCAGCACCCCGCGACGTAGCCATATATAGCCAGGGGCAGGCCGTGCCGCCTGGGCCTGTAGAGCTGGGCCGGGCCGAGCCGAACCCACTTCACTGACCCCCACCGACACCTGGGCCTTCCCCCTCGACTGGGCCACACACAGCCCCTGCAGTTCTGCCAGTGCAGCCCCAGGCCCACCCATGGCCCGTGGACCACTAACCGCACCCACGGCCGCCACGTCAGCCCTCAAGGCCTGGACCAGCTCCTCCTTCGACGCGCTCCGACCCTCCGGCGCTGCCGCCGCCGCTGCCAGCCGCCGCATCGGTGATGGCAGGCAGGGCCACTCCTTGCTCTGTCCTGACGACGACAAGGGAGGCAATAGCGCCGCCGCAGGGCACAAAGGATCGCTCCCGCCGCCATCACCGCCGTGTTGCCGCTCCCAGGAGAGGACAAACTCCAAACGCGAGACGCCACCGATCTGGGACCCCGACCCCCGGGGCAAAACTCCAGCCATGGCCCTAACCACGCCCCTGCGGTCGCACCGCGAAAGCCACAAAATCGCACACCAGAGGCCCCGACGGCGCCGGTTTCCACTCCCCCGCCACAACTTCCTCACCTTCATCGCCCGAGTCGTCCACCGCCAGGGCCCATAACCCGCCCCCGCAAGGTCGGGTCAGTGAGGACGACGGCACCGCCTGCGCTTCCGTCGCCGAATGGCCCAAGCAGCACGCGCCGCCCTAGTATGCCGGTGGTTCATGGTTCGCCACATGACCCAATGTGTCAACTCTGTCTCAGTGCCCCCAAAACGGGCACCGCACCTATGCATGGACAACCCTTTCTCCATCACGGTAGCCTAACTGTGTCCTAGATTGACAGAGAGAGAATTTCTCGGGAGGTGGTGAAGGGTCTCACCCAAGTGTTTCAGCCTAGTGAAGGGATGCTTCCCTAGGCTTCCATTCATGTGCGACATCTTCTCTGCACGTTGTCGAACATCTCGAAGGGGCGGAACCATCACATCTTCAATGAAACTCGTATGACCTACATCAAGGCGACCATGCTAGCCATGGAGGGTATCAAACAGAGGGAGATGTCCTACGGGACTTCCTAAGCGAGTGAGGGTATTTGATACATACTCCCTCTGTTCCTAAATATAAGTCTTTGTAGAGATTCCACTATGAACCACAGACGGATGTATATAGATGCATTTTAAGTGTAGATTCATTCATTTGGCTCCGTATGTAGTCCACCTAGTGGAATCCCTACAAAGACTTATATTTAGGAATGGAGGGAGTAGTTGACCTATGTGTTTCAAGCTTGTATTTCTGATTAATTTCCTTCAAAGGTGAGTCACTCTCCTATAAATATGTCTATTTTGTCTAAATGTAAAGGCGGTGCTCCTATTGGTTCCTCGAAAAAACCCCTCAGGACTTCGATTACATTTATAACGTCTCCTATTTGTTAACACTATCACAGTTGTCGAGCCTCAAAGAAGAATATGTTCGCATTACATGGATGAACCCGAACCTCGACATGATAGATTAAAAGAAGCATATAATATAATAGTTTCTAACAACCAAAACTCGCAAATGAGATACATAGCCAAGCTCAAAAGCTTGCGTCCACCTAAGAAATCACTTTATTTTAGATAGTACGTGCCCTAGTACAACTACTGTGTATCACTTCTATTGTCAGAAGAAAAGAAAATGCTCATTTCCTAGTAATTACACAAATGGAAGCAACTGCGTACGCAATCAAGTCAAAACATTTCTATAGATCTACATACCACCCGTGACTTGAATTGCAGAAAGTGCCAAAGTATTTATGACTATGAACACAACCACATTTAGTGCATAAAAGATAATGAAGGGAAACTGCCGACTTATGCGTCTCTTGGCACGCTGCCGCCTTTCAAAGCAACTGTCAACCAGAAGCCGCATGACACCTAGAAACGATCTAGGTGTTGCAAGGTTTGCAAGCAGTGTCATCAAGATGCACAACCCATTGTAGATTACCTGAGTTAATACTACCTTCATTGAGTTTTTTTCTCTCATCACCCCGACCATGGCCGCGAAGAAGGCTAACATCATGCTATTAAGTGACAACCAAAGGAAGTGCATTGCAACCATAAAGCCTAGCCATGAGCGATGAGACCGCGAAGCTCTTTCGTAGATCAGTAGTATCGTTGCAATCACGGAAGTTGTCATTGCAATGGTGTCTAGTACCATGAAGGTATCGTACCGACGGTGCCCACTTAGATTTGCCTTTCCACTTGATCCGTATGATCCAGGCACATTGAACGCGGCCGAGAAAGCGACAGTGGCCACGAGGGTGGAAACAACTGCAAGATTTTTAGATGTAGTCTCTCGCCATTTCATTATGTCTTGACCATTCCACTTCTCTATGAGCGAATAGGCGAAAGCGTCTTACCCTCGGTGCAAGGGGGCGCGTTGCGTGTTATAGGCAGCAGGGGCGCACCTCCCTGACAATAGCGCATACAAGTTTGTTGGAGAAGATTACAACTTGGAGAGGAAGAGATAAAGAGATAAAGAGGTTTACAAGATATTGAACTACTTGTCTAACCACCTAGCCTATCTCTTGTAGGACTCCTTGTGCGCCAATCCTCTGAACTCCAACGTGACATGTATATGTGTTTAACACCCTCCCTTAATCACAACTTCATCAAGTTGAGATTATGTTTGAAGTCTTCAAAACTTCTTGTGGGTAAAGGTTTTGTGAATCCATCTGCTATTTGATCCTTGGAATGCACAAAACGTATGTCAAGTTTCTTCTGAGCCACTCGTTCTCAAAAGTGAAAATCAATTTCAATGTGTTTGGTCCTAGCATGAAAGACTGGATTAGCAGACAGATATGTAGCACCCAGGTTATCACACCATAAACATGGAGTTTGAATGCTTTTGACACCAAGTTCTTTCAGCAGTGATTGCTCCCATATGATCTCTGCTGTAGCATTTGCCAATGCTTTGTATTCTGCCTCTGTACTAGATCGAGAGACAGTAGCCTGTTTTCTTGCACACCATGAAATTAAATTAGGACCAAAGAATACTGCAAAGCCTCCAGTGGATCGCCTATCATCCAGACAGCCTGCCCAGCTAGAGTCTGAAAAAGCACTCAGAAGTGTAGATGATGACTTACTAAAATTTAGACCAACATTAAGAATATTCTTGACATATCGAACTATACGCTTTGCAACAGTCCAGTGAACAGTGGTGGGTGCATGAAGAAACTGACAGACCTTATTAACAGCAAATGAGATATCAGGCCGTGTAAGCATCCAATACTGAAGGGCACTGACCAAACTCCTATATCTTGTGTTGTCATCTTGACTCAAAGGCTGTCCTTCTGTAAGAGACAATTTTTCTGAACTGGATAGTGGAGTAGGAGAGGGTTTACACCCTTGCAAACCAGCCTTTTTTACTAGATCTGTTGCATACTTTTCTTGGGAGAGATGAAGTCCATCCTCATGTTTCTTCACTTTTATCCTGAGGAAATAGTGCAACTCTCCAAGATCCTTAAGAGCAAACTCTGCACTGAGATCCTTCAAGAGTCCTGTGATAGCCTCATTAGATGAACTTGTGACAATAATATCATCAACATATATGAGAACAAATATATGAGTGTTGCATTTGTTGTAAATGAACAATGAGGTGTCAGACTTGGAAGGAATGAAGCCAAGTGCTTGCATTTTGTGACTCAACCGCGAGTACCATGCTCTAGGGGCCTGTTTCAGTCCATATAAAGCTGTGTCAAGCTTACAAACATAAGAAGGTGCGTTCTTGTTTTCAAACCTAGGAGGTTGTTTCATGTAAACTTCCTCTTCTAGAACACCATGCAAAAACGCGTTCTGAACATCTAGCTGTCTGAGATGCTAGCCCATGGAAACAACAATGGGCAAAACAAGACGAATAGTTGCAGCTTTGACAACTAGACTAAAAGTATCCTCATAGTCGATGCCATACCGTTATTTAAAGACTTTTGCTACAAGTCTTGCTTTGTAACGATCAATGGTTCCATCGAATTTTCTCTTAATCCTAGACACCCACTTGCAGTCAATGAGGTTTTTACCTTGCTGTGGAGGAACCAAGTGCCATGTGTTGTTTCTTTTTAGGGCCATGTACTCTTCTTTCATTGCTTTCTTCCAATTTTCATCACTAAGGGCTTCTTCAAGGGAATATGGCCACTACTAGAGAAAATCTTACTAGTGGCGCTGGTTTTTTACATACCAGTAGCGCGGGCACCCGCGCTACTGCTAGGACGCTACAGCTATTATTTAACAGTAGCGCGTTTCTAAACAAGTGCTGCAGCTAAAATACTTATTAGTAGCGCTGCTTTCTCCACCAACGCTACTACTATCATCACGTAGTAGTAGCACCCTATTTTCTCCCCACGCTACAACTAGGCAAATAGAAATAAAAAAATAAAAAAAGCAGTCAGGTGCAATATTCATGGAAATCAAGACAAGTCCAGTGCAAATAAACTAAGTTCACAGAACCATCTCATAAACATTAACGACAGTACCACATTTAACATAACCACACAATCTCACAAACTCATATAGTAGTCAACAATGCATGGATAGATCATAGTTGATAAGTCTACTAGGTAGTCATACTAGCATATATATGGTTCAACAGCCACACTCATGCATATGTAGTTCTAGATGATGTCGATGACAACCATCATCCTCAAGCCTGGGCGGTGGGTGTTCCTGATAGTAATTAGGATTGCCTGTCCAACATGAAGATTCTTGCCGACGAGGAAGCTCTTTCACCCAACCGAGTTGAAGTGTGTGCGACCGTCCGTGTCCACGCCGTATGCACAAGTGGTGACAGAGCCCCTTGCGGTAAGGCGTATTTCAGCAGAGCCTTCTTCATCAGGCTTGATACCACAACTCTCAGATAGGCTCTTTGGCAATTTCTGAATAAGAAAAACATATCAATTAATAAGTAGCCTCACACATTCTACACGATGCATATATATCATCGGACTCTACACTAAGTATATATATCATCGGACTTTACACTAAGTATAACAATAAAGCATATAAGATTCACTAAGCATATAAGATTCACTAAGCATATAAAATTCACTAAGCATATATATCATCGGACTCTACACTAAGTATAACAATAAAGCATATAAGATTCACTAAGCATATAAGATTCACTAAGCATATATATCATCGCACTCTACACTAAGTATAACAATAAAGCATATAAGATTCACTAAGCATATATATCATCGGACTCTACACTAAGTATAACAATAAAGCATATCATCAAATTACTCTAAAAACTACAGTAAATGCAACATACCATGATATGCCGATCAACCATGGTACTTGTCAGGCAGGTGACGAATGGCACCCCGACGAAGTCAGCACGTGGCGGAATGATGTCCCATAGGTTGCACACCTCCTCCTCGCTCAACTTCATTCTTTGAGCTACGATGGCATCACTGTGTGGGTCGTCATCATCCTCATCATCCTCATCATCCTCATAATCTTCTGCTTTGTTGACATAAATCACGGCCAACTTGGGTCTTTCAGCTCTGAAGGAGAAGCTGATCAACTCACCACCAGTGATACACATGTTGTCGATGAAACGGACCCATCCATCTCCTCCCACCCGCGTCATCTTTCGTCCTTTCTCGATCTCCATAGTGTAGGGCCCCCCGGGAGCCTCAAAGGTCACAGAGTCTCCAGTCAGATTGTTGAATTCTGACCTCACATTGCATGGGACGATCTGTGTACAAAAAGCAAAATGATATATACACGATGCATTAATGCCAATAACACTAAAAACAAAATAGTAGTTACTAGTTTCATATAATTTATTACCACCGCATGAAGAAAACTAGACTCGAAGTAGATGCCAAATAGTGTGCCAGTTGCAAGGCTGCTGGCACACCTTGACTTGCACCGTCGACATGGTGGTGGTGGTGGTGGCGCCATTTCCCTAAAGCAATATGATTAAAGGATTAATGATCCAAAAAGTAAACATAAAGTTTTCATAGCTAGAGTTCACATGGCAAGAAAAATAACAACTAAATAGTAAACATAAAGTTCAGTCCAAGGGAACACTTTATCTATTCCCACATCCAAAAGTTGAACCAGCTTAGAATCTTCCAGAACACAATAAGTAAACATCCATTCCACCTTTGGCATCAGATGCACAATAATTAAAACTATAAAAGGCAAACACCCCCCTTTTCGATCAGATACAACTCTCTGTCTATCTGTGTTTTCTTTTTCTGAAATTTACCAAAAATGGGCTCACTAACAGCATCATAACAACTTGGCAATTTGAGCATCACCACATACATTTACTCTCTTCAACCTGAAAGAGTATCGAATCAAGCATTGATATTTCCATGAAACCACATAACAGTGAGGGCTTCTTGGTCATATCTTGATATGCATCAACAAAGAAGCTAGTGTAAGTAGCCAAGAATTGAAACCCTCAACCGTTGTTGTCATATCAGAGCCAAAAAAATGCTCACGATTCTACGGTCGAGCACTATGGTTGTTCCAGCGAAGGAATGACAAGTAGTTACAAGTACTACATCAATGATCCTAAATGTCGAAAACAATAGTCACGTATCGTGACAACGTGATACGATGGGACGCTCTCGTCCTCGGCCGACCACGTTAGCTAGCTTAGCTGCTAGCTCCTGCCAGCACACCATCTTCAGGACGAGCGCGCCAGCCCTGGAAGATGCGGTTTGCCCGCTCAATTGTGGACTACGAAATCATGCCCTAGACGACACCAGGGCGTATCTCGAAAGCTCCCATGGCACCATTTCAGAAGGGGAGCCGATCCTACGACCACCATCGATAAACTTGAGCGTGTGGAGGCGTTCACGCAACCACAGACGATGGATAATCATTCCCATTGCAGAAGCCTATCATCTACACGAAATGGCACACGACAACCGACGCCGCCCGTGGCTCCTCTCCAGAAAAGGCACGACATGGACGCCTGATAACCCACAAGTATAGGGGATCGCAACATCTTTCGAGGGTAGAGTATTCAACCCAAATTTATTGATTCGACACAAGGGGAGCCAAAGAATATTCTTGAGTATTAGCAGTTGAGTTATCAATTCAACCACACCTGGATAACTTAGTATCTGCAGCAAGGTATTTAGTAGAAAAGTAGTATGATAATAATGGTAACAGTAGCAACAGTAAAGATAAATGTTTTTGGGTTTTTGTAGTAGTTGTAACAGTAGCAACGGAAAAGTAATAAGCGAAGAACAATATATGAAAAGCTCGTAGGCAATGGATCGGTGATGGATAATCATGCCGGATGCGATTGCTCATGCAATAGTTATAACATAGGGTGATATAGAACTAGCTCCAGTTCACCAATGTAATATAGGCA